GTCAGTAATGCGGCAGCGTAGCCTCGCCCAGGACACCTGGCCAGCTGCCAACAAGGGGGCCGGGACAGGGCTGCACTGGCGCAGGCTGGACCCCCTCCTTGGGGAACGCAGGTCGATGATGGTGCAGCTGATGGAGGGAGGTGGACTGGTCCTTGGCCTGGGAATGCCACGGGCCCTCTTGTTGCCCATTTGTGTGGTGAGCACTGAGGCCCACTGACCTCCTGTTTGGGCCTCCCTCACCCAGATGGGAGCCCTGGGCAGCTGGCGGGCCCCCAGCCCCATCCTCCTGACTGCAGCTGGCCCTGGCCTCATCTCTGGGGACCCACCACATGACAGGGAGAGGGACTGGGGGCCGAAGGACGTGGGGCCGTAGCCTGCCTCCAGCTTCCTCACTCAGGTGCCCAGAGAACCCCAGGCTGCTGCCTCTAGGGTCCACCTCACCCACCCTCCTGCCTCCCCCGCTGGGGCCCGGCTTCTCTGCTTGGACTTAGTGGTTCCCTGGCCTACGAATCCATCTGCTATTAGGGACAAGGTCAGTGGCTCTCACGGGGCGTTGGGAGACGTGCTGGAGCAGAGCAGGGCTGTCCGACAAACGGGTTCTCGGCCCGCTTCCCAGGAGGCATCATTCCTGATAAGGGCCCCAGGGGTACGGCCCAGGCCTTTTCCAGGTGCAGTTCGTTCCCAGCGGGCCAGGAGGGACCGCCCACCCTTGTCTTTCTGGCCAGTCCAAGCCTGCCCTCCTGCGCCAGCCATACCAGGTCCTGTGAAGACCCCTCGCCTGTCTGCACCCCTGCCCGGGCCTGGGGGAAGGGAGCCATCTCCTGTCCAGCCTGCACACGGAGGCTGCCCCTGGTGGCTGCACAGGGAACACACCTGGGCAGGGACCCACCCAGGCTCACTGCCCCTGGCTGGTCCCAACACCCCTCAGCCCATGCCGCCCTCCCAGGGGACCTTCCCTGGTCCTGTGGGGGACAGGAGCCGCACCCGGGTGCAGCCCCCATGCACGGTACCAGCCTCTTCACCCCATGATGGGCCCAGCTCTCACACCCCTTCCTGTCCCTTGGGCCACTGGGCAGCTAGGCTGACAGGGGGCCACTGACCCTAGCCTGGGCCCTGCTTTGCACCTGCAAGCCCCTGGCTAGGCCTGAGACCACCCCACCCCCAGACCGAGCAGGCCCCGCTGGGGCCAGGGAGGCCCAGGTGCAGTGATGCGTCATGAGGGCCTGGATGGTCTGTACTTTGAGGAGGTGGCTGTGACCATGCTGAGCCCTTTCCCCAGAGCGGAGTGATGCCAGGAGTCCCTAGGCGGCCCCACCCGTCCGAACCAGGCTGGTGGCCTCTGCATGGCCCTAGGCTTGGGCCGCGAGGAGCAGTGGGCTGGATCTTGCACCTGTGGACAGCAGCGACCATGGCTGCCCACGTCCGGGGCGGGGCAGAGAGGCAGAGTGTGCAGCCAGGGAGGCCGAGTCAGCACCAGTGAGCAGGTCTCTGTGCTGCCCGCACTGGAGGCCTCCCTTGGGTTTTCGCACTGGCGGATAGCTGTGTCCCCATTCTGCAGACAGGGACACTGAGTCCTGGACCAGCATGGAGCCTCTCTGGCCTCCCCAGCACCTGGAGTGGCCATGTCACATGCTTCGTGCAGTGACGTCTGACAGGCACTGGCTCTGTCCTGCCCTACCAGGCAGGGGGGCCGACAGGCAAGGGCGCCTCCTCGTGCCCCTCTCTGGCCTAGAAGTGTCCTTGGCAGAGGCGGTGAGGAAGAGGCAGCAGAGGTCATCCCGGGCTGGGGCGCTGACCCTCCTGAGGTTGAGTCTCGAAGCCACCACTGATAAGAGCGTCTGCTCCTGGCAGCACCCCCAGGTCTTTTCCTGATGGAGAAACTGAGGCTGGCAGCCCGGCTCCTGCCCCAAGTCCTCGGACGGGGTGGGGCCCAGGAGTGGGTAGGAGACCCGTGTGCCCAAAGCAGTGTGAGCCCACTTCCCCCGCGGCAGGAAGGCCCAAGCTCTCCTGTCCTGGGCCAGGCTAGGAGCCACCTCTGCCAGGAAGCCCCTCGGGTTGCTGGGCCCACCCCAGCTGTCCTTCAGTTCCGACCCTCTCTGCAGCCTTCCAGGTCTGCCCTTTGCTGGAGGGGTCTGCATTTTAGGTTCAGCCTGGGGCTCGCTTGCCCGGGGGTGGGGGAGTGGCAGTGCCGGGGAGGAGAACCCCAGGCAGGTGGCATGAGGCATTTGCCATCTGGGGGCCCCCGCCACCCACTTCAGGGGGGAAGAACCCAGATCTCCCCAGCTCTGCCTGGGTGGGGGCAGGAGAAAGCAGTGTTAATGGGGGGTGCCTGCCACCCATTCATGTGTCTGTGTGTCCCAGGGCCCCGGGGCTTGGGCGATCAGCAGCTGGGGAGCGGGGCTTCACCACCGCTCATCTGGCAAAGGCGGGTCAGGCACGGCTCTGCCGTCAGTGCAGCCTCAGGGGCATGGAGGAGTTAGGGGGCTCCTGCCGGGGACACAGCACAGACAGGAGGGCTGGAGAGTGGCAGCGGGCGAGTGGCAAGTGGCTTAACAGAGGGCTCTGGGGGTGGGCGGGGGCTGAAGGCGGAGAGGGGCAGGGGCCAGACTATTGGGAAGGAGGGCTGTGGTTTGAGGCGCCCTCTGCCGTCAGTGCAGCCTCAGGGGCATGGAGGAGTTAGGGGGCTCCTGCCGGGGACACAGCACAGACAGGAGGGCTGGAGAGTGGCAGTGGGCGAGTGGCAAGTGGCTTAACAGAGGGCTCTGGGGGTGGGTGGGGGCTGAGGGCGGAGAGGGGCAGGGGCCAGACTATCGGGAAGGAGGGCTGTGGTTTGAGGCGCCAGGGAGCTCAGAAGCTCCTGTGGGAAGGGGCGAGGCTGGATGAGGAAGTGGGGGGCTGAGGGCTGACAGCAGGGAAGTGGGGCGAGCCCAGAGGGGTGGGTGTGAGCAGGGTGCGCGAGCCGAGCACGGCGAGAACCGGACGCCTCCCCTGACCCCACCGCCCCCTCCGGGGCATCTGCCTTTTGGCCGG